GAATGGCTTTGAGCCACGAGGTGAGCTAACTGTTTAGAAGGCACTCTACGTGTGGTTACAGTTGCATGCTTTACACCACCCTCTTGTGTTTGGCACTACTGCCATCTCTTCATGTCCTTCTTGGTGACCTCTCTGGTGTCTGGATGCTCCTCCTGGATCTACGGCTGATGCCATCAAGTTACATCTGTTTCCCTCTTCCCCAGCAGCACAGGCACAGAGGTGAACAAAACGATGGCGTTTGGGTGTTGCTGCTGAACTGAGAGGTGCAGCACACCTTGGATTTCACAGAGCTGGTTTTCTCAGGATGATCCCATCATTTAGTCAGTTGTCCACGATGAAACTGTCTGGCTTACCAACATGCAGCTGACCTAACCAGCTCCTCCTGGTCACCTGGGAGTCATCTTGACCTTCAGTGTCTCTGATGACCACCACATACAGCTTCTTACGCAACTACATGAGTATATGTTGAGGAAGCTGCAGGTTCTGAGTCTTTGGACTTCAGGTACTTCACTGTCCTGAGGCTTTTTGTCTTGGTTTTTGTTAGGTTGAGTGATTAGGGATGAAGAGGTGGGGGAGGAGGTTTTGCCATCGTCCTGACAACTGTGTTTTCCACTTCTGGTGGTGGTGCCCTGCAGCGTGTGGCAGCAAGCAGCGTGGCTCCCCAGCACGGCCGGGGCAGAGGCTCGAGCGGGTTGGAAAAGGCAGAGGAGGGTGAGGATTTGCAGTGATCCAGTGGTCCTAAGGAGCAGTGCAGCTCTGGCTTGCTGCTCTTCAGAGAACCTTCCTAAAGGTGAGGGACAGCTGTGTAATTACTGCCAGACACCAGGACTGCCAACTCCTGGATGGACATCTCCTTGTTGAGGTAACTGTTGTACTGAGCCATGGTTAGCCTGCCGCTCTTCAGGGCGTCCTCGATGGAGAACTCCCTGCCAGACTTCCTGTCCAGGATCACAGATGATTCCCCGTTGGGGCCCTTTATTGAGATCTCCTCCCAGTCACATTCCTGACTCTTCAGCTTGACAAACAGGCTCCACTCGATGAGGCCAAACACGTGAGCTTCCTCTGGAGACATTTCTTTTCCCGTGTCGGGGTCGATGACCACGATGGAGCGCCTCAGGTGGTTCTCCCTCTGTTCCCTCTTGATGGCCACCGTCTTGAGGCGGTTCTGGAGCTGCTCGATCTCCGCGTCTTTTTCCCTGGATAACTGCTTCAGATCATCTAACTCTCTTTCTAGAGCTTGGAATCTGGAGTCCAGGTTTATTCCACTGTCCATGTGGGTCATATTTCTCAAATCCCGGGCTTCTGTTGCGGTGAGTTCAATCTCTGATTGCAGTCTCCTTGTTTCCATCAGCAGGTTCTGTTTCTCAAGGTGTAGTTTGTGGTTTTCCTCCCTCAGTAAGTCGAGCTCCTTGGACGACTTGGAGTTGTTGAATTCCACCTCAGACAGCCTGGTTTCCAGGCGGTTTATATCTGCATCTAGCTCCCTCTTACGCCTACTTTCTTCCTCCAGATTGCTCTTCAGCTTTTGAATTTCATACTCAGTGTCTCCTTTGTCCACTTGGACACTCTCTGAAAAGACCACTTTCTCTTTGACCTCCATCTTCTCCAAAGAATGGAGCTTCTTCCTTAGGGCTTCTAGTTCAGTTTGCAGGAATTGTCTCCGGTGCTTCTCTTCTTCCAGCTCCAGCTTGAGGAGGGAGTGCTCCTTCTCTTGCTGGGGATCTTGCTGAAGGATCACTTTCTGTTTCACAGTCACTCGTTCTGTTGTCTCCCTCTCCTGTTCTTCCAACTCGTTCAACCTAATCTTCAGCCTCTGCACCTCCAGCTCAGCCTCTCTGCGGGCCTGTCTCTCCTTCTCAAGTTCTTCCAGCTGACGCTCCAGCTCAGACCTCCTCCTCTGCAGCTTGCGGAGCTCTTCACGGAGGCCATCAATCTGCTTCAGCTCGCTCTCAATGCTCTGGGAGAAAGAGTTGACTTCAGCTTTCAAGGCAGGATCTTGCTCATACTTCACTACTTCTTGTTGGACCACTTTCTCCTTCACCTGGGACAGCTCTTCCTCCTTCTGTCTTACTTTTTCCTCTTGGAGTATCCGCTCCCTCTCCAGGTCAATGTGTTTCATCTGCTCATCTGCCAGCTGCACTCTCAGCGACTCCACCTCCTCTCTGGTCTTGGGGTCTTCCCGAAACTGCAGAATTTCTTGAACGACTTCCTTGGTATGCACTTGAGGTTTGGTATCTTTCAAAGCTTGGATCTCTTGTTTCAGCTGGTAGATCTCCAGGTCGGCTCTTTCAATCACTCCTGTCCTCTCTATGATTTCCTCCCGGAGCCGCTGCAGCTCCTTTTCAGTTTCTGGATCATTCTTGTACTTAATGACCTCCTTAATGACTTCTTTGACTTCTACCAGTGGCCCTCTGTTCCTCAGAGCAGCCAGCTCATTCTGGCAGCTCTTCAGCTGTTCATCACCGCCTCGGTATCTCCTCTCCTGCTCTACCAGCTCCAAACGAAGGTTGGCAACTTCATTCTCAGCCTTGGGGTCTGGGCGCACAATCTCACGCACTTTCTCCTGGACGACCACCTTGGCGTTTTCCTCCTCCAGCAGCTGGATCTTCCTGAGCAGCTCAGCCTTTTCCCTCTCGTTTGAACGACCCTTGGACTTCTCATCTTCGTACTGCCGCCGGAGCTCGTTCACCTCCCTCTCGATGGCGAGGTCCTTCTCCACCTTCAGCACCTCCTTGACGGTGATTTTGCCCTCGGCGATGGCCCGTTCCTTCTCAAGGCGTTTGAGCTTCTCCTGGAGGAAGCTGAGCTCCTCCTCGTGCTTCTGCCGAAGGGCGCTCTCCCTCTGCTTGTTCTCCTGCAACATCCGGAATTCCATCTCCAGCTGGGGGTCGTTCTGCAGCTTCAGCACCTCCTTCTCCATCACCTTCTCCTGCTCTTTGTTCTTCTCGCTGGACAGCACGGCGATTTGTTGGCGTAACAGGACGACTTCGTTCTCTCTGGTTCCTTCCTGCCTCCTGAGCTCCTCCAGCTCTTCTTTGAGCTTCAGGATCTCATCAGCCTGGGCCTTGTCCTGCTCGATGCGCAGGACCTCCTTCACGACGTACTCCTGCCCTCCTTCCCTCTTCTCGTGCTCCAGGACACGCAGCCTGATCTTGAGGGCCTCCAGCTCATCCTGGAGCACCTGGTTCTTGCGCTGCTCCTCTGCCAGGCTCTGCTGCAGTTTGTGGAAGCTCTCCTCCAGCTGAGGGTCAGGCACTTTCTTCAGCAGTTCCTTCTTGATGACAGTTTCTTGAGGCTTCTGGTTTTGCAGGTGGACAATGTTGTTCTGAATGGCTTTGATCTCTGCTTCAAGCTGCTGCCGACGCTGAGTCTCATCCTCAAGCTCTTTCTTCAACCTCCAGACTTCTTCTACGGGCCTTAAAGACTTTTTGGTCTGGAGAAAGTCTTGTGTCACTTGAACCTCTGGTTGCTGTTGTTGAAAAAAGAAGGTGTAATCAAGAAAACCCCAAATAATCACACTTTTGGTGTTTACTTTCAATGCCCCATGTGACAAAGCTACAGGAGGATGTTGAGTTTGGTTACGCTAATTGTGGACACTAATTGTGGCCTGGGTTTGGCAAAAGAAGGGTTAAAAATGATAAGGAGCTTCCAAGCGTGCGTGGGAGGTGGGGCTGGGAAACACCAAGGAGTTGTCTTATCTGATTTAAGTGTCTGCTGATGGATAGTTTTGGAGGCCTGAAACACCAGCTGGGTTTGTTTCCAGTTCAACGTGTCATGGCAAAGGCGCACGTGTGTGTCACCGTGTTGGTGGCCACGTGTCCTTGCAGCCCAGAGAGCCAACCCTGTCCTGCTGCATCACCAGCAGCGTGGCCAGCAGGGGCTGGGAGGGGATTGTCCTCTACTCTGCTCTCATGAGGCTCCACCTGGAGAGCTGTGTGCAGTTCTGGAGCCCCCAGTACAAGAAGGACATGGAGCTCTTGGAAAAAGTCCAGAGAAGGGCCACCAAGATGCTCCAAGGGCTGGAGCAGCTCTGCTCTGGAGCCAGGCTGGGAGAGTTGGGGTGTTCAGCCTGGAGAAGAGAAGGCTCCAGGGAGACCTTAGAGCACCTTCCAGGGCCTGAAGGGGCTCCAGGAAAGCTGGGGAGGGACTTGGGACAAGGGCAGGGAGGGAGAGGACAAGGGGGAATGGATGAAAACTGGAAGGGGGGAGATTGAGGTTGGAGATGAGGAGGGAATTCTTTGGTGTGAGGGTGGTGAGAGCCTGGCCCAGGTTGCCCAGGGAAGCTGTGGCTGCCCCATCCCTGGCAGTGTTGAAGGGCAGGTTGGATGGGGCTTGGAGCAGCCTGGGCTGGTGGGAGGTGTCCCTGCCCATGCAAAGGGTTGGATCTGGGTGATCTTTAAGGTCCCTTCCAACCCAACCCATTCCATGATTATTTCCACGATGTCCCCACAGTGTCACGTTGCTCCTGGTGGTCACTCACCTGCCTCAGGAGGCTCTGAGCAAACTCCAGGTTCTGCAGCCTCTGTTTGTTCACAGCACTCACTTCGGTGAACTTGGCTGCCAGAGCAGCTTCCTACAGAACAAAAATGCCTTGAGAAGAGGTGGTGGAACCAGGGATGGCTTGGTCAAGACTTGCTGAATGGAAATAACAGACCCTAAAGAGGTAACCTGGGGTGCTCTTCCCAAAACCACCTACACAGGTGACCTGCCAAGCTTTGGGGGAGGAAGTGATTCTCATGCACACACAGTCATGGTCCTACCATGGGTTTCCTACTGCAGATATGCAGCTGAGGAGGAACAAGGTGGACATTTCTGGCTGCCCTTAACAGCAGGATGAACTTGAGGCACTGCAGAAATAAGCAGTTTGTGGCCTGCTCCCTCTCTGAGGATTTCTATCTAGCACGTGGTCTTCTTCTCACTCTCCATTTGAAAGTCTGGAGAGGGGAAAAACTTCCAGATTTTTTGCTTTTCTCCCCTTTCTTTCCCCTCCTTTCAGAAAGTGCTACATCCAGTGGTTTTTCCCCTCTCCTCCTGACCAGCCCAACCCAAAACTATTGATGGGTTAAGAATGATGAAAAATCCCTTCCTCCCCTGCAGTCCCCTCTGGGACCAAGGTCACCAACAGTAAATGTCACTGTCTGTAAAATTCCCATTGGTCCCAAAAGCTGCCCTCTGCTGTAGCTTGCTGTGGACCACCCCTTCTTTACCTCCTCTTTGACCTTCATAGCTGGAGACTGGAGCCTGGGCTTCTTGCTCGTGTACCCGTTACGGCCGTTCTCCAGGTCCAGGATGGACCTTAGCTTCTCAGCTTCCAACTCATAGTCCTGTGGGAAGAAGTTTCCAGGAGGAAAGTGAGATGACTGGGTCCCCTTCATGCACAAGGTCCCTCCTAAATCCTGGCTTTTTAATGATTTCTTCTCTTGAGCTGTGTTTTAGGTGAGTTGCTGAGGTTGGTGGGACCTGGAGCACTGTGGACAGGACCTCCCAGCAGGTTCTGAGTTGTGTACTGCCCTGTGACCATAATGGCACAGGTGGAGGTGTGTGCTGGCCATGCTAGAGGCCACAGAATGTCTCCACCAGAGCAGATATCATCTGGTTTTAGCTCATCAGTTGGCTGAGCAAGGGCACTAGGCTTTCTTTAGGTGGCTCCTTGTAGAATGTAGGTGATTCTGCCCCTCTGCTCTGGTGAGACCTCACCTACAGTGCTGCATCCAGCTCTGGAGCTTTCAGCACTGGGAAGACATGGACCTGTTGGAGCTGGTCCAGAGAAGGCCACAAGAATGACCTAAAGGCTGAAGCACCTCTCCTGTGAGGACAGACAGAGTTAAGGTTGTTCAGCCTGGAGAACAGAAGGTTCCAGGGAGACCTTATTGCAGCCTTCAATACTTAAAGGGGTCTATAAGAAAGATGGGGACAGACTTTAGCAGGGCCTGTAGTGGCAGGACAAGGGGTGATGGTTTCAAATTAAAAGAGAGAACATTCAAAAGAGATATAAGAACGAAATGTTCTGTGCTGAGAGTGGTGAGACACTGGCCCAGGCTGCCCAGAGAGGTGGGAGATGCCCCCATCCCTGGAAACATTCAAGGCCAGTTGGATGGGGCTCTGGCCAACCTGATCTAGTTGATGTCCCTGCTGACTGCAAGGTGGTTGGACTAGATGACCTGGAAAGGTCCCTTCAAACCCAAACTGTTCTGTGTTTGAAGTTCTCCCCCCAGCAGAACTGCAGTCCTTACCTTCACAGCCTGCTGGTACTGCTGAGCTGTGGCCGAGACCTTCTGCACCTCCTGTTCCTTGCTTGCAATGTCACTGAGGAGCACCTGGCAGGCACAGAGATACATGGCAGAGGGAACACAAACCCTGGCACATCCTTCAGCCTTTTGGAAGGTTGCCATTGAAATTACAACACCAAGAATTCCACCCTCCTCGAGCTGCCCTGCTGTGTGTAAACAAGGCACAGGCTGGACCATGTACAGAGTGAAAATAAAACCAGCTAATGAATACTTCTATTTTTCTACTCCATGTTCAGGAGCTACCCAAGTTCTATTCCTTATCTTTCAATGTTGTTCTTTCTCCCTTCCCTGTGGAGCCCTCAGGGAATTACCAGTTGGTTCTTTAGCTTGGTTTCCACTTGCTGGATGTTGTCAGTCTCCTGGGGCTCATAGTTGGGGATGTTGCAGAGGAACTGGTTGACTTTGTCGTAGTTGGTGCGGTAGTTGGAGTAGGCACTTCCAGCTTTCTGCAGGGTCTGTGTTCTGGGGGTGGGGGGGGGAAATCAGCTCAGCTTCAGTACTGTCACATCCCTCTTGTCTTCTGCAAACACTTCTTAACCCATCCCCTCTTGCCCTGCTCCCTAGAGACACAGAGTTGAGCCAGAGTTGTTCTCTTGCCCAAGTCCCCATCTCTGTTGCAAGAGCCCTTCATCCTACAGGCTGCCCAGATCTACCCATGCCAGGAACCTCTCTCTCTTCCTTCTTACACCTCCCTTGAAGCCCTTCTGCAGCTCCTCATTCCCATGATGATGTTATGCCTCTTCTAGCTTCAGTTCCAACTTCATTCCAGCTCTCCAGGCTGGTCTAGTCCTAGCTAGGTCCCACCCTCTGTCTTACCTGTGGTCAATTTGCTTGCTGAGGTTGTTGAAGCGCTGGTTGAGTTTGTAGAGCTCTGCTTCCTGCCTTTCAATGTCAGGACAGTGCTCCTGGAACTTGCTGGCCAAGGCACTGGAGCATGTCTTGGTCCTTTGCAGGTTCTGCTCTGCTTCATTGAGCAGGAACCTCTTGGACTGGAGCTCAGTGCCCATGGCCTGTGGAAAAAAAAAAAAGCAGGAGAGGAGGATTTATCCAGGGTTGCACACATGCCAGGTTTTAGTCACTGATCTCCATCAACTGCTGAGGATGCCAAGGAGCTGCAGTACTGCTACAAGTTGTGGAGAAAAGCTAGGAAGAGGCTTGCATGGCAAGCAGAGCCATCTGCCAGACCTGAGAAAACCACCTCCTGCTCCCCTCTGCACCAGGTGACCTTTGAAAGCAAGTATCCCAAGTGCAAAGCATTCAGTGCTCCTCACGTGAGCCTTAGGTCCTGCTCTGCCACTGCAACAGCTCCAGAAAGAGCTGTGAAGGCTTCTGCTAGTCTGAATTTGAGGACTTGGTGGAAGAGCTGGAGAAGGATGTGAAATCCTGGCCTAGCCAGTCCTTGGCCTTTCTCTAGCAGAAGCATTGCCCCTTTTGGTCAGTAGCTTTTCCTAGTGACAGCTGTTCTCAAAGCCTTGCTAGGTCCATCTCTTTCAAGCCCCAGGCCTCTGCCTTGCTTTTCCCAGACCATTTTCTCCTTCACTTCTCCATTTGTCCTTTCATCCCATCACAGGTATTCAACTGGCAGTTGAGTTGTGGCTGGGGAATGGGAATGGTTTGTGTTTCACGTTGGTGGAGATCACTGCGGTTAGAGTGAGGTTCTCTAGCACCCACCCCTCTGCCAACTGCCTCAAGCTTGGCAGCTGAGCTGTGGTGCCCCCAGCTTGTGGTGCCCCCAGCTCTCTATGGGAAGCATGTCAACGGGGGGGGGGAAAATCTGGCTGAAGACAAGACTCACCAGCAGCTCTTCTCTCTTACGATCCACCACCCGCAGGTCCTCTGGGACCGTGTCATCTGTGACCAGTTTGTTTTCATAGGTAGATAGCAGGTCTCGGCCTTGTTGGAGGCTCCTCTCGAGGTGTGTGGCCACCTCAACTCTGTATGGACACGAGAGGAAAGGTGTTGGAGCCTGCCTGCCCCTATCTCCTGCAGTATCCTACGATGTGAGCCATGACTTACTTCTCCTGGGCCGCGCTGAGCAGCTGGACCACGCGGTCGTACTTCTTGTTGGTGTTCTCCACCTTGTTCTTCACCAAGGTGGCACTGCCAGTGTTGGGCACGGACTCAATGAAGACTTCACACTCCTGGATCTTCCTCATTTTCTCAGGTTCAATGC